CTTTGCCAAAAAATCTATCGAAAAGCTCTGCTTCCTTCAGCTCCCAAACGCTTCGATAGTTTTTCATCAAATTTTTATCAGAGATAGAGCTTAAAAAACTGTGATCATCGGCACCGACCCGAACTTTATTGGCTGAGATAGGATGGAGTTATGATTCAAACAATAGCCACCTCTGATTTTCTGTAAATCAATATTCACAATTTTTATGAAAAATGATCCAGATCGTAGAAGTCTTGTTTAATCTCTAAATTGTTTCTTAGCTTTTTAATGTTAGTCGTTTTTTCTCTAGAAATGCATGTATTTAACATATATTTCGCATGGAGTTCTAAGAAAAAAAATTTATGACTCGTTTATTCATTTTTCTTAAGTTTAAAGTTACACAATAGACAAGAAAAAAAGTTTTCACATGATCCTCAGTAAAGAGTATAATCACCAGACGAAGCAGTCACCGCCTGAATACGACTTTTCATGCTGTTCACAAGATTGAATGCGAGTTCATTTGGCAGCTTCTTCCATTCGTTGTTTATAGCAGTAATCAAATCTCTGTGTGTAGTTGGTCGTCGTTGAGCAATCTTTACCTTGAGTAGAGACCATAAATTTTCAATAGGATTGAGATCAGGACTCAAAGATGACCAGGGTAGAGTTACAATTTGTCGAGTAGAGTTCCAGTTCTTGGTATAGTTCGATCGATGTTTGGGGTCGTTGTCTTCGAGTAAAAACCACTGAGATTCTCCAAAGTGTTTGTGAGCTGAAGGAAGCAGAGCTTTTCGATAGATTTTTTGGCAAAGGAATTCACTGTTTAAGTTGTTCTGGAAACAAAACACTCGTCCAAATCCCTTTGATGATAAACAGCCCCAAACGTTGACTTTTACAGGATATTTGATTGTTCGGACAACTTTTCGCTCACCAGGATGCTGCCAAGTGTACTTTCGCTTAGCATTGAGCTCAATTGTTGTTTCGTCAGTGACCATTACTCGACTCCAATCGTCATTTTTCATTGATTTAGCCCATGCTAGGCGTTGTTGTCGATGATGTTCGCTAAGGAGAGGCTTTGATAAAGGTTTTGAATACTTGAGGCCAGCATTCCTTAGTCGTCGTCGAACTGTACGGTCACTCACATTAACTTCATTATTCTGAAGTTCTTCAGCGATTGTTTTGCTCGTTCCATCAATTTCTGTAAGAGCCATATTGACCATCATCTGATCTTGTTCAATAGTAGTCGTTCGAGGCGCTCCAGGTCGAGAACGATCGGAGAGATCTTTTGTTTCTTCCCAACGATTTAACCAGCGAGTGACGGTGGTTCGATTACATTTCACGATTTTGGCAATCTTGTTGGGACCAAATTGCGGACCATTCTTGTGGGTGGCGAGAAAAACAATTTCGTAGCGTTTGTACAGTGGTAGAGACATCAGCAAGAGAATTTCAGATAGTGTAGAATGAGAAAATTTCATTATTTTGCTTCCCTTTTTATACTTTTCCGCACAAAAGCAATTGTGTGAGACTATGGACCAATCAATAATTAATAGAAGATGAGGGCGCTTTGCGACATTACATGTGTAGAATCGCGTAGAATTACGAATAATAAATATCCACTTCGTATTTCTGTACCGCAAGATCAATTAACATTAAAAAGCTAAGAAAAAATTTAGAGACTAAACAAGACTTCTACGATCTGGATCAATTTTCATAAAAATTGTGAATATTGATTTACAGAAAATCAGAGGCGGCTATTGTTTGCATCATAACTCCATCCTATCTCAGCCAATAAAGTTCGGGTCGGTGCCGATGATCACAGTTTTTTAAGCTCTNTATTTTAGTTATATGCGTAAGAATTACGTTTTTGACGTCATAAAACTGATGTCCTTCAAATTCTTTCATTCAACATTACTCATACACAATACCGATAGCCTTGATCAATAATATTATGTTTATATGAAAGGAAAAAAAATCAGCTACGTAGCCGCATGCGTCATTGACACTGTCTTTTTTTAAATTATTCTTATGACACACAGTTTAGAAGACGATATTCTTGTTTTGCTAAGAAGGTTGACATATTTGACATAACTTAATTCTCTTCTTTTGTTTAATTTTGTTTAATTTTAAACGTAAATAAATAAACTATAATATCAAATCAAATTAAATTTATTTAAATTTAAAATTAAATTAATTTAAATTTAAAATTAAATTAAATTAAACCAAAGAAGAGAATTTGATTATGTCAAATATGTCAACCTTGTTAACAAAACAAGAATATCGCCCATGTAAAAATTTTATGTCCAAAAAGTCACTATTATTTACTTTTTCTTTCTTTTGCGTTAAGTACGAAAAGTCACTAATAAGGAACCTTTTATAGTAAACTTTAGTAAACTTATAAGTAAAAGTACTTTTTAATACTTTATAAAGTACTAAAAAGTACTTTACAAAGTAGGAAAAGTGTCGAAAATTACTAGAAAAAGTAAAAAATAGTTGTAATAGTTACTTTATATTACTTAATTATCAGATATAGTATTTAAAAGTTGCTTTTTCATACTTTTTTTTACCTGGGTTGGTACGAAGACTTTTATAGTACTTTTCATTACTTACTTTGGTCATAGTATTTTTATATTGCTTACTTTTTTATATTACTTTTTATTACTTACTTAGATATTGCACCTTGTAACACCAACAATTCCATAGTACTTTTTATTACTTCACATAGTACTTTTTAGTATACATTTTACTTATTTTGTTTCTGGAGGCGAGATTCGAACTTTTCGCGACAAATCCTTACTTTTTTCGAGTATACAAATAACAGAGCCAAATTTGTATACCAACATCTACTGTTAGAACTGCCTTATATATTGAACCGACTTGAGATGGCGCAATTACAACTTAATATTACTTTTCAATAGAAAAGTATTATTAATTACTTTTGGTGATAAAGTACTTAAAAATACTTTCATAATTGATAGCTCATTGACGCCGTCACAGAATTACTTAATAGTACTTTTGTATGTTACTTTTGAAATTAGTTTTCTATGTGACATTTGATAATACTTTTTTTGGAGCTTCAACTAACTTCAATAGTAAGTTTGTGATTGAAGCTTTCTTTACACTTTCAGTAAGATCAGTTTTTACGACGCAATCCAAAGTACTTAGAGAATGCATAATCGAAATGGTTTATCCAGACATGCAGTAAAATAACCCCTTGAAAAATAAAAATTACTGAAAAGCGCTTATATTAAAATAGAAATGGTAGCACTTTTGGCGAAAAATTTGAATATTCTAGAAACAGCGACGAATTACTATTAACGACTCATTGGATGAAATAATTTTTTTGGAAAATTTCTCAGTTACTTTCTACTTGTGTTTCTGTAAATGATAATTAGCTGGCGACACTAGCAAAAAATTAATTTGATAGGTTATCACGCGAACTATCCAATGATTTAGCTAGAGAATGAATTTTTTTATTTCATTATAAATATCCCTCTTTGTTTGTTTATGTAGTAGTACTAATACTATGATGTATCTATGATTGGTGAAATTAACAACATGTTAGAATTCGTATCTTTAATCATTTGGAAAAATCGATGATGGTATGATGCGTTTTGAACTAGAAGATTAATTCAAAATAATAAAAAATTTCGCTCGATTCTAACTTCGAAATATATGTAGATGTCCACTGTACTGAAAAGATAGACAATATCTTAGCAATATTGACATAACTCATACTTTTTCTATTGCAGATAATTTATTCTCAACTTTATCTGTAGTGTCGTTTATCATTTGGGCTTATTTGATATAAAAAATGTCAATAAAAACAGAAATTAAAAGAAAAGAAAGCCAACAAAAAGAAGTCAAATGAAAAAAAACCAATGAAAGGAAACCAAATGAAAAAAATACCGACGAAAACAAAACAAATGAGAAAAAAATATTGAAAATAAAACTAGCGAAAATAAACATGTTCTATTACGTGATCTATCTACCCTAATGCAATTAATTGTCGGTCATAATAGTATTCCTGTTAGTAAAATTCGAAAATTGGAGTAGGTGATGAGGTTATTTACATCAAACTGGACCAAACTCGTGGTCGTGGAGCTGTGCTTCTTATCGGTCAGTTTGTATTCTTCTTCAAAGTAATGATTTTTCTATTATGCAAATTTTTATTACTTGTTGAAAACTCATAAGCACTATTAGGTGTCATACAAAAGATAAGAATTCTATACACTATACTTTATCACTCGAAAATTATTACAAGGCATGCTTATGAGCATGAAAGCACTTATGATAAATTCTTCGAAACTACAAGTTGAAAAAACTATAGAAAGAAGCATAGTAATAAATCAAATGTACTTAAATATTTCTTAATGTTAACTCTGATTGCTTTTCAATACATTGAAACTACTTTTTTCCAGCTATTAGAAATGAAGATGCATAATATAATGCTTAAAAAGTATTAAAATGAGTATACTAAATCTCATGATTGAAGAAAGTATCTCGAATTACTTTGAAAAGCATAATATATGTTTATTATATCTTAAGATTGTACATAATACTAAAACATACTTCAAGGGGTATCAAAAGTACTTATTATTACTTTAAAAGTATATTAAGTATTATAAAGTACTTCAGAAAATGTCAAAATCTATATACTAAACTTGAAATCTAAAAATAAGTACTAATAAGTACTTCATAAAGTATCCAAAGTAACTAAGGCTACTATTTAGAAAATGAAAAGTACAATAAAGTACCTCAAAAAGTACACAAATAATATTATAGACTTCGTGACTGAATAAACTACTATTTAGTATTTCCAAAAAATCAGAAGTATTAAAAATTACTTCTTGATATGTCAGAAGTACTAAAAAGTAAGTCAGAAATTAAAAACATTAATATTATTCACTAGCCAAACAAAAAACTTACTTAAAATTACTTTAGAAAGTTTTCAAAGTCTTTTTCAATACTTTCTTCAACTTAAAAGTACTATAAAGTACTATAGAAAGTTTCCAAAATCTTTCTGAATGTTTTTTCCGACTCAGAAGTACCATAAAGTACTTTAGGAAATATAAAAAATTAATATTTCTCACTTCACCAAAAAATAGTACTTTAAAATACTTTACAAAGTAAGAAAAGTGCAAAAAATTACTACAAAAAGTGAAAATAGTACGAAAAAGTACTTTATTTTACTTTATTAATAATGAAAGTACTTATAAGTTGATTTTTTTCACTTTTGCTGTTACATGGGTCAGATAAGTTTTAAAAAATAATCCGCGTGTTTTCCACTAGTGAAATCAGTTTTCGAACTTAAAATTTTTTTTTTGAATCCAAGACGTTTGAGATCTTTACGAGTTTGGGGGCTAAACTCGCTCATCACTATGTTTCAACACCGTGTTCGAACTTGTGTTCATAAACAGACCCTCTTAACAGCACTGCTCAGATTTCCGAAAAAAGGTAATTTCGGTAATTTAAAAAAATTACCAGCAAACCAGCAAACATAGAGTTCAGAAATTTCTCAGTAATTTCAGAAATTACCAGGTAATTACCAAGCCTCAGCGAAGAAATTTCGGTAATTCCTAGAATATAGAAACAGAAATAAGGGAACAATACGGTGACAGGAAGAAGCCCACCCCTACCATCGTCGGTATTTTCGGTAATTACCCAAAAATACCGAAGAGAGTAGGGGTAGGCTTCTTCCTGCCACCGTGTTCTTTCTCTATCTCGCTCTCTCTCTATCCTAGTAATTACTGAAATTTCCGAAATTACCAAATCTACCGAAATTACCCGTAATTACCGGTAACTATCGAAAATACTGGCGAGGGTAGGATTGGGCTTCTTTCCATCTCTGTATTCTTCCATTATCTCTGTATCTATATTCTAGTTATTACCGAAATTTCTTCGCTGAGGACTGGTAATTACCTAGTAATTTCGGAAATTTGTCCCTAATAAAACTCTTAAATTTTTTTTGTCAAGATCCAGCCCTTTCCTATCAAGATCCGGACAAGTTTGCTCTGGCAGCATCATAGAATCCTAATAAAACTTGACAGGAACGTGTGACCAAAAAATGTCAAGTTCTATTAGGATTTTCGGAAGATCCTATTTCAGGATCTTGTCAGGGTCTTTGGTAATCTTAACAAAACTTGAAATTTTTTGGTCACAAGTTCCTGTCAAGTTTTAGTAGGATCCTATGTAAGATCTTATAAGATCCTAAATCCTTTTTTTGTAAAAGAATTAATTACCCAGACTCCCAACTTTCTTGGGAACTTCTTAAGCTTACTGTTTAGGATCCAGATGCGCAAATCATGTATACGATCTTACCAGGATTTCGATTTCTTATTATGGATTCTACAAGACAGATTTGAACACACTTACTTCATCTCGACGATGAACGCTTTAGACCACTTTGATACAGTGGCATACCCTTTCTCTCGTA